AGAAAGAAAGAAAGAAAGAAAGAAAGAAAGAAAGAAAGAAAGAAAGAAAGAAAGAAAGAAAGGCTGCCTTCATAATCCTGCAGGAACCAAAGCAATTACTCCAGGGAATCATTATTTTTCCATTAGACCAAAGGGCAAATTTCACCTGCTGGTGTCTCCCAGGGGCTGGGGCATGAAAAAAATGAGCCTCTACTACAACACAAGTGAAATTAAATAGAGAAAAAGCAAAGTTCACAAAATCTACCAATTAAGAGCCAACACAAATGTACTGAGCAATTCAAATGGAGATATTTATATAAATAAACTCACAAACACGTAATTTTTTCTTTAAGTAAACAGGTCTAGTGGAAGGTGTCCCTGGGGTTGGAACTGGATGATCTTTAAGGTCCCTTCCTACCCAAACCATTCTGTGATTCTACAAACTTTTAGGCACAGTCCAGTTTGGAGAGGTCCTTCAGTGCCAGTGTGACGGGGCCTGGGTAGGAGAGAGCTTTGAAGTGGATTTTACCCAAAATTTGAATTAAAGTGAGCACAAAAAACCCACAGATCTGTCTTTGAATTTGTAAATATTTTGTTTTGGGAACTCCAGCTACATAAATGCATTGTTTCAAGTAAGGTCTTTGGGTGTGCTGGGGAAAAGGAGAAAAAAATTGTTTAAAGCAAAGTTATTTTATTCTTTGATTATTGTCTTAGAAAAGAGATCCATTTCTCCCATCATTAGTCCAGCACTTTCCAGGGTTTTCTGCCTTGCAACAAAAGTGCATTTTGGGGTCCCTGAGGAAAAGCTTCTTCTCTTCTGTATCTCATGAGGTTTGGTCACACATTTCTGTGAGTTCCCCTGTTTTCTGACTTTCCCACCTGACCAAATGTCCCCAGTTTTATCTCTGTTTTCAATGTGTAGCTGGAAGTGGAAGGTTCCCTTGTCAAAGAGCTCAGCACAAAGTCAATCAAACAAACTGCTTTTCTTCCAACTTCTCTGCCCAAAACTTCCTAAGAACCATAAGCACAATGAAGAAAAAAAAATGGAAGACAGGAATTGCTTTTTCACAACAGGGACTCATAACCTTCTTTAACATAACAACCAGCAATTTTTTCAGAACCATTTTTGCAGTTGTTTTTTATAGTGTTGCTGCAGTGGTTTTGGGTTTTTAGACACTTAAAAATAAGTATCAGTTTTAACTATTTGTATCCTGGTTGATATCACACAGTTTTGGCTTATTCACTGTCAGGTAGGGTGTGGTGTTGTCTCTTTTCCCAGTTGATGGGTTTTCTGGTAATTATTTCTCAAGTAAAATTTCATGGCTTTGCAGAAAAAAGATTGTGTTTGATGACTTGTGGTTAAGAACTGGCTGATGGCTGGGACCAGACAGTGGCAGGAACAATGCTGCATCCAGTTGGGATCTGGTCACCAGTGGTGTCCCCAGGGATCAGTGCTGGGCCCAGTCCTGTTTAATGTCTTTATTGATGATCTGGATGAGGGGACTGAGTCTACCATCAGCAAATTATTTTTAATAAAATTCCTGGAATTGCATTTATCTGGGATGCAGTTGCCCAAAATGGATTGAATTAGGGCAAGTTGAAGGAAAAACCCATTGAAAATGGGCTGGGGTTAAGTTGCACTGAATTTTGGTGAATTTAATAGGACAGGGAGCTGCATTTCCACTGAAGCAAGGACAGGGAGGCAAAGAGAGCAAAATGAGGGCTGAAGGGAAGGCATCAGGGAAGGTAGGAAGCTGGAAGCAACTGGACAACAGGCATCAGTCCCACCTGGTGGATGAGGAGAAGGCTGTGGATGTGTCTATCTGGACTTCACCAAAGCCTTTGGCACCATCTCCCATGGGATACTCCTGGAAAAGCTGCAGCCCATGGCTTAGACAGGGGCACTCTGTGCTGGGTTAGGAACTGGCTGATG